TGAATATAATGATAAACCCAGTTTCATAAGAAAAGCTGGGGGTTGATGGTTCATGTAAACGGGAAGTTCTCGAAAGAATGCTATATGTAATTTTCTTAGGGATAACCCGATCATTACGAACAAAGTGATAAACACTACATCCCTACGATGATTTTCGAATACTCTTTTGCTGAGATGAGATTCGATCACTTCTTTAGATCAATCTTCACTCACAAAAGTCATATTTGGTCAAACCTTTAAACAGTTAGGACCAAAGCCAAAATCCCCTCTCAATTCCTTCACTGAACGAGAGGTCCACAAATTAAACGATCAAACCTTTAAACAGTTAGGATCGTCTCAAGTCCCCATTTGGTCAAATCTTTAAACAGTTAGGACCAAAACCAAAATCCCCTCTCGATTCCTCCCATGAACGAGAGGTCCACAAATTGAACGATCAAACCTTTAAACAGTTAGGATCGTCTTAAATCCTCATTTGGTCAAACCTTTAAACAGTTAGGACCAAAGCCAAAATCCCCTCTCGATTCCTTTCATGAACGAGAGGTCCACAAATTGAACGATCAAACCTTTAAACAGTTAGGATCGTTTCAAGTCCCCATTTGGTCAAACCTTTAAACAGTTAGGACCAAAAAACCAAAATCCCCTCTCGATTCCTCCCATGAACGAGAGGTCCACAAATTGAACGATCAAACATTCCTACAGTTAGGGTCGTCTCAAAACTTCCATCTGGTCAAACCTTTAAACAGTTAGGACCAAAACCAAAATCCCCTCTCGATTCCTCCCATGAACGAGAGGTCCACAAATTGAACGATCAAACCTTTAAACAGTTAAGAACATCTTAAGTTCCTATTTGGTCAAACCTTTAAACAGTTAGGCCCAAAACCAAAATCCCCTCTCGATTCCTTCACTGAACGAGAGGTCCTCAAACTGAACAATCAAACCTTCCTACAGTCAGGGTCATCTCAAAACTCCCACTTGGTCAAACCTTACTACAGTTAGGACCACAACCAAAATCCCCTTTCGATTCATTTCACGAACGAGAGGTCTACTTTTGAATTGAATAATCAAACCTTATGACAGTTAGGATTATTCAAACCAGTCAGATTCTCAAAGTGGAGATCCTACTTTGAGTTTCTTTTGCGCCAGGAGATAGAATATAAAATTCTTCCTCTCCGATTCTGGGTTTATCTCTACCAACAAAAAAGAGACAAGGATATAGAATATAAAATTCTTCCTCTCCGATTTTGGGTTTATCTCTACCAACAAACAAGAGACCACGAGATAGAATATAAAATTCTTCCTCTTCGATTTCGGGTTCATCTCTACCAACAAAAAAGAGACCATATTACTCCAATGAGTGCACGAGTCTAAACTGTTTCCCTACCCTCAACAGGAAGTTTCTGGAGAATATTACTCAAAATATTCTTAAGAATAACCTGATTATCTCTCAATGGGTATATGAGGTTAAACTATTTCCCGAACACTCCAATAAAGTATATGAGTATAAACTATCTCTTCATTCTTCAATAGCAGTTCTAATTCAAGACTTCGTCGACGGTCATGCGATAAACGCAGCACCGAAGGAAGTTTATCTATTCTACAAAACACTGAATAGGCTAAAAGATGAAGAAGTCAAAAGTTGAAGCCATTTATGGGTCCTTCCGTATGATCTACTCAATCAAGTACTGAAAGGATTAAAAGTTAGACCCATCTTATCCAAAGTATCACAGACTCCTCTATAAAAGAATGAGTCTGGAATACTTTGGAGGGTTATCTGTAGGCGTCAAAAAAATGCTGAAAGATATCCGAATACAGCTCAAAAAGGATATCATCCAAAAAAAAGCAGAAGAACACAAGTATGGGCTGTCTCGCACGCGAGACATTCTTTACTGTCTCGCACGCGAGACAGTCTTTACTGTCTCGCTAGCGAGACAGTATTCTCTGTCTCGCCATGCGAGACAGCATTCTCTGTCTCGCCAGGCGAGACAGTTGTTACTGTCTCGCAGGCGAGACAGTATTCTCTGTCTCGCCATGCGGGATAACATTCTCTGTCTCGCCATATGAGACAACATTCTCTGTCTCGCCCATGAGACAGCTCTCAAAGAAGTCAGAAACCGTTTTGTAACTGCCGACACGTGGCCACCAACTGTTCAAGAACGTGGGAAACGTCATGGGCGAGAATCACGTTGATAACTGCCAAAATAACGGAGTTGTAAAACGTGGGAAGACAGTTACAAGAAAACTGTTGGGCGGTTGAGGATTTCCGAGACAGTGTTTACTGTCTCGGAACCCGAGACAGTCTTTGCTGTCTCGGCCGCCGAGGCAGTAAACACTATCTCAGAAGCACTGTTTGTCCTAGGGGCTATAAATACCCCCTTGAGATCATTTTTGACGAGGGGATCGAGCATATTTTCGAGCAAGTCAGAGCAGAGAGAGAGCAGACGCTGTTATTCTTGGATTCCCTTGAGATTCGAGCTTTGACTTGATTTCAAGAAGAACGACTATCTTACTTTGATAAGATATCGTTTTAAATTCTCACTTCGATAAACGAAGGAAGAATCATAAAGCCCCCTTCACGATCTGTGATTCGGCGGTCCACGAACCAAAGCGTTCCCGGCACAGGCAAAGTCCTACAAAACAAGAATCGATAGACGATTTTTGTGTTAGTTTCTCAAAAGTTATAATTTTTACTTTGTTGTGTAGAAAAGGTCTTATAAAAAGACTATTTCTTTGAATTTGTTGTAATCGATTGAAGATATAATGAATTCCACAGCAAAACCAACTTTTGACGAAAACATACTCTATACACAATTCTTTTATCTCCTTTATCTCAAGCTCTCCACCAAGCAATTCACACATACCATCAATTACCTCGCTCCTTATTTCATCCTTCTCCTCTATCAAGACAATATCAATATGTGTAACATCACTCACGATATCATGTAGAATATTCATCTGTATTAACATATCATCATTAATATCCGGAACCTCAAAATGAATCTTGATGGTGACAAAATCTTCCTTTTCGGGGGTGAGCGTCTTGTTGCTTGCCACTAGAGAATCCTTCTCCTTAGCAATCTCTGTCTTAAATGCCTTCGGTTCTAGGATTGACATGATTGATGAAGTCTTTTATTGGTTCTTCATCGGTGCTCTTCACAAATCCAGACTCTTTCTCAGAGATGAATTAATGTTTCTTAATTTTTCCATAATCATAACTAGCTTAATAACTCTCTAAAAATATCCATGATAAAGGTCGTATGTCATTTTGCTCAAGTTCTCGCTCCACCTTCTTCGCTAGACGGACTGTAGCGGCTAAGGTAAAAGAATCTTTTAAAGACACTTGACATTACTTGTAGTTAGAAGGTAAGAAACGGTCTCTTAATAATTTCTTCATCTTTGCGCACGTTAGAACTAGATCCTTTCCTTAATGGTATCAATTTATTAGTACTTTATCCCACCATGCAAATGCTTTTTTCTTTAAGCTCGTAGACCACTAATTTAACTTTTCAATCTTCTAGAATTATCTTATACTCAAAATACTTATCCACTTTATCAATCCAATCAAGGAAATCATCAGCATGAAGCTTTTCATTGAAGGATAGTATTTTTAATCTTCCAGTGTCATAATTGTCCTGTCTTTGGTGGTCTTTGCGATCATAACCGCGGTGTGAGGCCTCATAGTCATCACTATTGAATTCATCATGTGGAGTCGGATCACGTCGTTGGCGACCATCAACGCGATTTTGAACTCCTCCCGTGTTCAGACGCTCCACTGTCGACGCAGATCGTTCTATGGCAGTCTTCATCTGATTAACATCGGTCTTCAGCACGTCGAACTCAGTTTGAGAAAAATGGGCTTCATCAACTAGCATTCCAAATCGTCAACAAATCACGTGGGAACGTGTAAAATCTAAGGGAGGGAGCCAGGGAGGGAGACGATTGACCCGTATTCCCACAGGAGCATTTCAACTTTGTAGAGCCGCTTTCTCATTATTATATATTATTTAGGGCTACTTTTTTTATTCGCAACGTATCTTGTGAGATGTTTGTTAAATGACTATACCACCTATTTTATCTCTCGACCGAAACGTTCAAAGGTTTAGAATGATATTGCTGAAGCTTTAATAAGTTGTTTATACAAGTAAGAAGCAACGTATATAAGCTATTATAAGCCGCTGAAAATAGTTGTTTAATAATAAAATATTAAAACTGGTTAAAAAATAGTTATGGTGTTTGGCAGAGCTTAATAATCATTGTTAAAAGGTAAAAAATATATACGACATATAAACTAAAAAAACAAAAGTTGTTTTTAAAAATATCCACATGTTTCTTCTAAAAAAACCCTCCTAAAAACGGAAGTAGTTTTAATAAGCATGCCAAACTTTTTACCAAACATCATTACTAACTACTTCTTATCAAAATAAGTAGAAACGTCCTTATAAGAACAATACCAAACCGCCCTAAGTCAGAGGCGGGACAATTTGGCATTTTAAAAGCACATAATAAACATGTTTGACAATGTTTAGCAAAATCTATTTACCACAAACAGTTAAGTGTTTCGTAATAATGTGCCTAGAAATAATTATAAAAGTGAAAATGATCATAACAAACCTAAGTTTATTCTCAAGTTTATATACAGAAAGAAAAAACATTATCAAAACCTAATGGATAGATATGTCATAAAAACTACAAAAAACTCAAAACTACATTTAAAAATATCGTCAATTTGTTTCTGAAAACATGCCTCTTGAAAGCAACGTTTCTACTGAGCATGCACGAAAAAGTTAGCGAATAACATTTATTGACTTGTTGTCTCACAGAAACATTATCAAAGAAAACAATACCAAAGTGTTATCCATAATCCACTCTGGGTTATTTTTGTCAACAAAATCAAATAAAATATCCCAAAATTTAAAATTTTTTCCCGGAAATTGAGGGGTAATCTTTGAAAATCTCCAGTGTACGCTACTAACCCCAGCAGCTCAAACAATTGTCTGAAAATTTCACTTCTAACCCACTATTTTGTCCTCTCACTCCTCTTTCTCTCTCTCGTCACCATCATCAACGGGGGAAGAAAGAGAGAGAAAGCGAAGAGAGAGAGAGAGAGAGAAAGAGAGAGAGGGAGGGGGAGAGAGAGAGAGAGAGAAATAAAGCAAGTACAAACTCTCTAAGAGCTTCAGTTACGCTCCACGACTCCATTAGGGTTTTCACCGAACTGTAAATGCTTGTCGCCGTGGACAACGACTGAGGTCGGAACTCTAAAAGATAGCGCGCTCGATGCGATTCAGACCCGATCGTGGTATTTTCGTCCAATTAGGGTTTCCATCGACTCGAATCCGATAGGTAAACTTGATCTATCCTTTTGATAGATCTTTTAATTATTTGTTTCCATCGGCATTGTCTCGATTGCTGGGAAATTTGGACGTATTGGTTTTTTCCCCTTGAAATTAATGTTTTGGTGGGGTTTTGAGTGAAGTTTTGATCTGGAAGTGAGTTTTAATTCGGTAGATCTAAGTAAAGATCAGGGGTTCATACATAAATGCTTCAGTTTTTGCAGGTTTTTAGGGGTTTAGCTGGTGAATTTGAGAGAATGAACTCTGATACATTTCTTGATTATGCTCAGTTCCAGCTATCACCAAGACGAACGCGGTTAGAATGAGAAATTCTTCTGTTAACTGTTTTTTTGGGATTATATTTTGTCTATTGTCATCTCAAACACAGAAACTTAGTTGTTTCTTTAATTTTGAGTGAAAGATCACATTTTTCAGAATGCCTTTTGCTGAAAAATTGAGAAAAATTTGTAATTTGGCAGGTGCGAATTGTTTGTTTCGGGAGATGGGAAGACTGAGAAGCTTGCTTCTGGCTTGTTAAAGCCATTTTTGACCCATTTGAAGGTTGCTGAAGAGCAGGCTAGTCAAGGAGTTCAGTCTATAAAGGTCGAAGTAGATAAGTGGAAGAATGCTGGGAATTGGTTCAATAAGGGAACACTTGAAAGGTTTGATATAATTGACACATATTTTATCCGATTGATCAATAGCAAATAATGCAGTAATTTCACAGTTTCATGATGTAATACAATTTTGATTGATTAAGCCTTCTACACTGATCACAATTCGCGATAGCAAGTAATCAACCTCGAAATACTTGGAAGATCAATTCTTAATTGAATGAATTTAAATGCCATTGTCAAGAGAGCAGGTCTTTCTCTGGCAAACCATCCCTGTTTCTTATTGTTTGTCACGCGAGAACTAATTCATAGAGAGGATTGATGTGATGTGATAATATTCATGCAGACTTAGTTATCCTTCCATATAGCCTCGTACACCTACTACTGTTCCAGTGATAGTTAAATAGATAAATGTTTTGGATAAACTAGGAGAAAAACAATTGGCTGAAAAGATTTTTGTTAAGATATATTATGGAGATCTATAATGTTACCATTATATTAGGACTATAAATTAAAGATTTAGTGATTAAGAGAATAATTGTGATTAGGTAATAGTGGGTAGTCACACATTGACTATACAATAAGCTTCTTGTTATTGTATCCTTATGTAAAGGGGAATAGTTGTATCTTTTATAATATAAATGAGAATCTATAATATTTTATTGTTTAATATGGTATCAGAGCCACACAAATCCTAGCCTCCACAATACCTTAGATCCTTAGAAAACCCTAGCCCCCTAATCTCTCACCATCAAACTCCTCCTTCTACCTTACAACCTCCGTTCTTTCTTGTGACTGGTCATCGTGAACATAACATGTTCATCTTAAACAGAACCGAGGTAATTGTTCACTGTGAACATTGCACGATGATTGTTTACCGTGAATAGTGCTGTATATTATTGTCCGTCCTACTTTTGATGACTTTGTTAATGATTGTGATTGTCATTATTGGTAGCAATGGTCATCCTCGATGTATATGTTCTTGTCATCAGTGTTATCAATGTGTGAGGCACAATGCGGGACGCAAAGTCAGTTTACACACACATGCTCAATGCACAATGCGATGCGCGCAGCCTAGTGAAGTGAGGCACACTACACAAATTTTTTTAAGATATACAAACATGCATAAAGAAACATGTGGTCATGAAACTTCACATAAAAAAGATGTCAATGACTCAAAATAAATAATATAAACTACAAAGTCATAAATAGAGTCTCAGTGATAATACTAACATACCCAAGCAGTTCACTAATATCAATAAAAATTAAACAGTCTACTAAAACAAAGCAAATAAGTAACAAGATAATAGTCTAATGGCTCTAATCATCCTCCTCAACATCATCATCATCCCCTTCAAGCAGAATACCCTCCTCAGTTTCCTCTTCGTTAAACTCTTCTTCATCTTCCGACTTTGAAACCGGTTCCCTACTCCTTGATGGTGAACCACCACCACTCGAAGATCATCGGTCCCTACTTGTCGACTTTAAATATCTAGCATCATCCTCTTCAGCTCCCGTTACATCTCCTACAACACTAAATGTAAGACCATCCTCGCCCTGGACCAAGTTATTTTCTGCATTGTCACCTTCACCAAATTCCCCCAGCAACCACTCGTTGCTTTCATCAATATCAGGCAACTTGATCAGATCAATGACATCTTTATAGTCAAATCTCTCATTCGAAGCTTGGTTGTACTTGCAGTTTGCAACCTTTTATGATTCAATTTATTTCTCTTCTTGCTGTGTATCTGTAATTTATACAAAGTAGTCAATTCAATTTACGAAGGAATAATCAATTTTGCTGTATTAAAAGAAACTCAACATATTTGTTCAAAAGTATTTTAATTTCTTTCACAACCTGAGGAGCTACAAGTAAGGCTAATGACTCTTACTGTAAGTTTTTGCAACTCTGGAGTTGATGCATTGTACGACTCCCACCAACTAGCTGTCAATATAGATTATTAGATAGTATTAGCAGCGTATTTCTCTTATAGAACATAGTGAATTGAGGGATAGATTATTGATATTTGCCAGGAAACTTCTTTTTTCGGTTTCTTTTGCCTAATATCCATACCAAAAGATCCCGACATTTCTGTATATATCCAGCTATTTGTCAACCTTGTCTTGCTCATTGATGGGCACCATCTTCTTAATGATTTGATAAATGCCTTTCATAACCTTAGCATCCAGGGGATCATAGAAAAATGCAGGATTAAGGTAATATTCTGCAGTGTGCAATAACCTCTTTTGTTGCATCATCATTAAAGGCTTTTGCAATAGCCTCTTTCGATCTATCCATCGCCTCATAAATGTATCCTATTGTAGGCATCTTTTCACTGTCAACAAGCTTCAGAACACGAACTAAGGAGCTGTGAAGTTAATAATATGAATAATATTATTCTAGAAAGAAGACATGTGAACTATCCTCTCAGCTGCTTTGCTCTTTGGATCTCTTGCCCACTTACTTTGTTTCCATTTCTCCAAGTTGAACATTTTTCTAAGGTTGTTTTTTTGCTTATGGATGCTGGACAAAGTCATAAAAGAAGTGGCAAATCGTGTCACTACTTGTCGGAGGAGCTCCCTGTAGTTAGTCTGACCTCTCATCAATTTCAAAACCCACTCATGTGAGTAGATGAATCCCGTTAACTCCATAGCTCGACTCAAGGTCGACTTCACAGTTGGTAATTTACCAATATCCTTCAACATAAAATTGATACAATGAGCAACACTTATAAATGAGGATATTTAGCCTCAAATAATTTTTCTATATCAAAATTAAAATCATGATCAGAATAGAATAACAAGCATAAATTGCTCATAATGAAAATGAACTTAATATCTAACTTTTTATTTGCTAGCTTGAGACTAGAATGATTATCTGTAACAACTTGCACAACATTCTGAGGTCCTATCAGCCTTAATCTACTCATGAAATATCTCATACATCCTTTCACCCGTCTTAATCTCCTCAGAAGCATCAATAAAAGAAAGAAATACCATATCAAGAGGAGAGTTTGCGAGAAAATTGAGCAACGCCAACCATCGGACATGAAAGAACAACCTTTGTTAGCCCACACCTTTTTATGAGGTTTCACCAAATCATTGATTTATTTCTTCTCTTTTTTGAGCAAAGGCTCCCTTAAGTGGTGGAATGTCAGAGGTGGCAAGTTAGACCTAAAAGCCCCCATAGGCTTCAACATGATTCTTAATGACCTAAGTCGTGCTGCGTTAAAGGAAATGCATGTTTGATACCACCAACGAGTAATGTCTTGATGCACTTTAGCTATTGCATCTTTGTTGAGGCTATGATCAATACATGTTTGCCTCAACTCGCGTCTTCTATCATCCTTAGCAACCTCTAGCGCGAGATCAAAGGTGAGAAATGCATCCATCGGCCCTTTCCTCTTTGTGAAAAATTCCTCACTATTCAAGCCCAAACTCCCCCTTCCCCCTTGTCTCTAGTTGCTTGTAGTTGTACCTCTTCAAGCTCCTCATCTTCATCGATCTGTACCATATTTTTATCTCCAAGTTCCGGAAGGTAATCATCAATAGCTTGTTGTTTTCTAATACTCTCTTGCATTTCTTCATACTCCTTTAGCTCTTCAACTACATCGGGAGGGGCTATTTGACAAAAGGGACAAATTTTTACATTTCCACTCTGTCCCAATCGTCCCAATACGATGCTCCTTTTGTCTTGATATACCGCCATTTGTGATCTTATTACAAAGATGCATTTGTGTTTGTTGGCATTTCCTTCATCCATAAGTGAAGTGTATTTCCACGTAGGATCTTGTGTTCTCCCGCTACCGGTCGATGAAAATATACCTACACAAAAACACATAAATTAACAACTATACTACATAAGTACATAGATTTAGTGAATCATACTTCTACTTTAATTTCATTATTTCATAATCATACAAATTATTCATAATCATATTAGTGTATTGCATCACTAACAATTCAATTGGTAATTTTCTCTTACATGTTACAAAAGAAAAATTGGCTAGTAGCACTAACATCTAGCACATTGCTAATCTTCCATCTTCCCCCTCAAACTTAAACACCCATTAAACCACCCAAAGCAACGATATTCATGAGTCTCAAACAATGTTAACTGAACAATATAGCATCTAGCAACAAATATCTAATAATCAACCAAATCTTAGTGAATGTTACTGTAGTTGCAAGCATAGGGCAGTCAGTTAAGAGAAAGAAAGCAAAAAAGAATACAAATTAGAAAAGGAAAGAGCTGTAGCAGTGAATTAGGGGGAAAAAGAAAATAAAGAATAAAAACTGAGAAGAAGAAGAAGAAAAGGACTGACCTGACCTGCACGGCCGATTGCTATTCGCCCGTTGTCGTTGCTGCTGTGCTATTGCTGTTGCTACGGTTGATGCTGTGAGAGGGAGAGGAGGACCAAAGAAAACCCTTGTTCTCAACCGAGACCTGTGAGGAGAGCGGATGAGGTAAGTTTTGCTTTGGTTTTAAGTGGGAATCGAGTCTACACCCGATAACCTGCTATTTCTGAATTAAATGAACACTGACCGCTTCCTTTTCTCAAGCAATCGCCTCACGCAAAGCGCGATGCGCTTGCGGGGCGCTCTCAAGCGCGCGCCTGATGGAAGCTTAGCGCCTTGCACTTGATGCGCATGCCTCAAATTGCCTTTGATACTACTGCTCATCACCGCCTATGCCGTCTCGATTTCCCTTCGTTCACTGCCTACTCAACTTATCGACACCACCGCCACCGCCACTTATATTCTAAAAACCTTGACCACCACTAGCTACAAAAAAAATATTTTGATTGAATCAAGATTTGGTTTGTGATTTGGTTCGATGAATGTTATTTTCTCGGCTTTATTTGTCTATTGATCCCCACATAGGGATCATTTGTTTGACAGATCTCTAAAGAAGGATCATTTGTTTGTTAAATCCGTGAAGAGAATCATTTGCTTGGTTGATCCTTTAGAGATGATGTTTGCTTGGATGATCCGTAAAGAGGATCGTTTGTTTGGTTAATTGGTGTCTGGTGAAGATGATTGTTTGTTGGTTGATCCATGAAGAGGATCATTTATTTAGTGGATCCCTAAAGAGGTTCGTTTACTTGGTGTGTTGTTGGTGAGGATTATTTATTTGGTATTTCCCTGGTTGATCTGTGAAGAAGATCGAGGTATCACATTTGGTGATTTTGGTTGAGATTATTCGTGGTGGAAGACATTCAAGTAGAAGACTAGAAGATGAAGACAACTACGATGAGAATGTCACACAGAAGATTTTAGTCTTTTAAGTCATTTCACAAAAATGGAGTGAGTATATCTTGTTTGTAACAAGCCGGACATGTATGATATACATGCTCCAGCTTGAGGGGGGAGTGTTAGAGAATATATTATGGAGATTTATAATGTTATACTTGTATTAAGAATAATATATTAGGAGTATAAATTAGAGATTTGGTGATTGAGAGATATTAGGAATGTAAATAAAAGAATAAATATGATTAGGTAATTGTGTTTAGGCCCATAATACACAATAAACCTATTGTTATTGTATCCCTATAAAGGGGAATAGTTATAGCTTTTGAAATATAAATGAGAATCTACAATATTTTATTGACAATTTTCAAACATTCTATGTGTAGGTTTGTTCGTTTTGTCAGCACGCCGGAGGTGTTGGAGATAGTCAATACATTTGATGCGGAGATGTCACAGTTAGAAGGCGCCAGAAAAATATATTCTCAGGTAATATCATAAACCATTTTTTACTTTAAATTTTTGTCAAGCAGCTCATCTGTGCAGTAATTTTGAAATTAAGTTTACTTTTTTCTTAGGGAACAGGAGATCAGCTTTCTGGAAAGTTTGGTACGTTTAGCTTTGTTCACTCAGTCATGTTTTATTTTTATTATCAGGAAAAATGGATTGAATTATTGCTTGATCCGTGATTCTCCTAAGACATCTCTCATGGAAATGCAAAATCAGTGCACGTTTAATGGTGACAGACGTTGATAATCACTTAGATCATTAAATTTCCGTTCTCGATGAATAAACTTGGCAAAGATTATTAGGCCGTTTAATATATTCATTGGTAGACACTTTCCAGTTGCTATGCATGTTCAACTACGAAGTTTGTATCAAATGTTGACATGGTAAATGAGCAGAACACATGCATAACTTCATGATCTCGAAAGTTGGAGACAGAGGATTATAAATTTTCCAGGTTTGTGAAAAGGATGTATTGCGGATAGGTTATAGGAGGAAACTTACATTGTTTCACTTTCGACGTTATCCTTAAATATTTGGATGATTTTTTTTCCTCTACAGCCAATTTTGAATGGTTCAAGAATCAGCTAGTTGGATTCACAGATCAATTAAAAACGCCTAATGTCACTATTTAATGCCCTCTGCTTTAGGGTCCATGAAGATTAAAAGCATTTCATGCTAGTAGTGACCGTCTTACTGATATATCATCCTACTAAGTTAACCATACCAACCTCGTAGTTGTACCATAGTAATGACACGGAGCCACCAATCCACGTTTCCTACCCTGAAAGATTAATCATTTAACAAGGTTAGGATTTGGTACATAAGCTCATACTTTAGTGAGCCTTTAAAAAAAACTAAAGAAAAATATTTATATCCATAAAATCTTACACACGAAGCGGAGACATACATTTAGGTTGGTATTACAATATTTATACTGATATTCTGAGACTGCATTAGCAATAATACGTTAAATATTTTATGAATATTAAATACCATGATTTTTTTGGCCGTTTGAAACTGTAGAACTTCTTTCTCACGAGAAAAGGGATGACATGCTGCAGACTGTGACAATGTGGCTTAAGAACAACATAGCTTAAGAACAACATATAAATCAGGATGCAGTAGAGCTCTTATAATTCATTTTAGTGGCGATACTAGTAGCCAGGGCAATTAATGGTTATCCAACCATTTAATAACTCCGTATTATATAACTTACTACATTCTCTATACCTTTTTATAAAACGATTCCTGCTATCTGCCTTTGTGTTGTAGGTATAGTTTTAAGTGGTAATTGCTCTTACATAGCTTCTTAATTTTCCATCTGAAGAAAATTGTTTGCTAACTGATTCATTGTTTGCTAACAATGAAGGAAATTGTTGTAGGTATAGTTTAAGTGATAATTGCTCTTACATAGCTTCTTAATTTTCTATCTGAAGGAAATTGTTTGCTAACTGATTCATTGTCCTAGAAAATTTCTATTAATCATGGTTCAAGAGGTGGCTTTACCTCACTAATTTTTTTGTTTGGAGTTCAATTCAGGTAAAAATGAATCGGCTACTGCAGGAGCAGCAGATAAAACAAAGTATTTTCCCGTCACTTTATTTACATTTCCAGCAGTTACTCACTTTTCTTGTTCTTGTGGCCAACATACTTCGTACATTGGTCATAAATCTATTCATTTAAGCTGTAACATATTGTTGTATGTGTCTTGTTCAAAATTATGTTGAGATTACCTATTTTGGTGGGTCATCATAATGGTTGAGATTATTTATCAAAAGAATACTGAAATAATTCTTTGAGCCACTTTGTAAACAATTCAGTTCATGTTGAATCAGCATACTTTAATACTTAAACTACATAAATTGCTTTCAGGAGTTGGAAATATGCTGTGGCTGGAGTGAAGGATTACAAAAAGATATCAAAGCATGAGAGGATCAATTTGTCAGCAACTGAGAAAATAAATATGTTAACAGCAGAAACATAAATAAACAACATCGCTAAACTCAGGCTGTCATAAATAGATCAACAAATAGTATTGGGAGTGTTGAGCAAGAAGGATGTAAATTAAACTTGGGGAACATGGAGTCATAGGAACACACAGAGGTGAAATGTGCCACTTCAAAAATTGAACCGCTAATAGCTTTGATTCAAGCTTTACGCTAGACTATATTTCTTTTAGAGAAACAATATTTCTTTTAGAGAAACAAAATAGATGACGCCTAGATGATTTTTTTTACCATGGTGGACGGAATTAAACACAGCTTTTCACAAATTGGAACCTAATAATATATATGGACGAGCAAAAGTTTTGGGCAGACTATTGGAAGGCATGTAAAAATGGAAAATTACTTCTATGTGAGATAAACAAAGGAAAGAGCCCCATTTGCTATTTGTTTGGTAATGTAGTCTCAATAAGCATAAAATTTTACCGTTGCTAATATTGCTCACTTCTTTGTTTAATAAGCAATCCTTCTTTTCATGGTGGTAATTCTATTGTTGAAATAGATACTTGTCCTTGTTTGCTTGAGTTTCTTTCATAGGAATTGAGGCACATATGATACATGTTGTACTTAGACTATTTTCAGGAACACTAGAAACTAGCATTTGAAGCTTATCTTCCATTGTTAGCACTATTGTAATGTTACTATTGCTTGCCTTTGCTTTAATTTGCAGGAAAGAACTCCTCAGGGCCATTGACTTGCGGCTAACTGCTGTTAAGCAAGACCTAGCAACAGCTTGTGCTCGGGCTTCTGCTGCAGGCTTCACCCTTGACACTGCCTCTGAACTCCTCCTGTTTGCCGATCATTTCGGTGCACCTCGCTTAAAGTAAGTTCTTTTTCTTGATAGCCATGCATCTTTGCCTGCATTTTTATTTTATTTCCTTTCATTTTCCTTTTTGCTGTTTTCCCCTCTCCTTAAGCACGTGAAGCTATTGTTTGAAACATATAGTTTGCACATTTATTCTGAATTTCTGAGATATATATAAATTCTCAAATTCCTATAATTTGATCCCAAATAAAATATTTGATGGCTTAAAAAGCACAGGCCGGCTTTTGGTTACTGACAACATGAGAAATCTAGGGTGTTATCGTGATTTCTGAAGGCTTAACTTAAATTTTGTGCAACCTTGCAAGTTGTGAAATCTTTTTTAGTTTTGGTTCTTTCTCAAGAGGTCTGCTCTTGTACGCCTGACGTGAAAATGAATGAGTAAAAAAGTACGAAAAAACAAAATAGATGTGATCTCATCTTAATAATCTAAAGCACCAGATTAGAGTCATGAGAAATCAAGTAGGCGAGCATGGTCTCAAGCCCCAACATAACTTCAAAGTTTTGGTGCAGTTGAAGGGTCGTTTCACAATTGATACCTGTGACTGTGTAAGGAACTCAAATAACTTCAGCATTAACATGGTTCCTAGTTTCTACCAAACATAGGATAGGCTAACAGGTCAAGCTTGTACTTTGACATAACCAGGTCCTACTTGCAGTGTTCATTTAGAATTTGCTGCAACCTACTTTATCTTTGAAGACATTATTTAAGACCTAAATACTTCCGGAGCTTGCTATTGGTGTGATTGGTCATTCTGGGCTTATACTACAACCTCTCTGATGTCTAGCAGCTTGCATTAGGTATTAATGTAAACAGAAAAAGTTTTCATTATTTCAATCATGTTATTGCTGTTTAGCGGGACTGAATGATCATAAGATCTATCTGTCAATTATTTTGATCTGAAAAACTTTCTGATATATTTATATGTGATGTTGGTTTTATAGTGAAGCATGTACCAAGTTCATCGCACTGTGGCAGAGGCGGACCGAGCTGATAAGTCATCCGCAGTCACCGTCTCAGTTGATCCCGCCACGATGGAAGGATCTTGATCATGCCCACCTCCATTGGTGGAACTACCACCAGGTCTGAGACCCACAAGTCCACTAGCGAACAACCACTACGGGAGCAACTACTACAGGAATCTGCTTCTGAGACAAATTCAATTGTTCAGTCCATGGAGAAAGATGTAAACAAGGCCAAGGAGGATCCATCTCCTAGTGCTGCATCTTCAGATGAGCTGGTTCAGCAATCTGCAACCGGGTCCAGACGGTTAAGTGTTCTAGACCGGATCAATCTCTTTGAAACCAAACAGAAAGAACAATCAGCAAATGCTGCAACCATTAGCAGCAGAACTTCTAGTGGAGCTGGAACCAATAAGGTGGTGGCAGGAAGGGGAGAGCACCGGAGGCTACCATCTGATGCATCTATTGAGAAGTTGGTATTGAGGAGATGGAGTGGTGCCAGTGATATGAGCATTGATCTCAGTAACAACAACAGTATCAGTAGCGACAGAAAGGAGAGCGGAACTACTGCAGAGACTCCTACTTCATCTGCCAGTCCACAAGTTCAATCTGGAAGTAAAACTGAAGAGGGGGCTGGGTTGTTGAAAGACACAGCAACATCACAGCCTAGGTTGGGTCCTAAAGACAACTCAACAGTCACACACGTGTCTTCGTTGTCTTTATCCAAGGTCGAAACCAGGCCCTCTCCTAACAATGGAGATGGAAGAGTAGATGTCCTATTGAGAGAAGGTACTACAACATCCAAAACTCGGTGTGAACAGTCTATGGAGAGTGGTAATGGTGAGTCTCAAACAGAGTTTAGTATTTTGGTGGGTGGAGCACGGGTCAGCGGATTTGGTGATGTTGCTAAAAACCAAGCAAGTTCCAAAACTGAGTCAGAACCAGGGGAGGGTGCTAATCAAAAGGACCAAACAGCTTCTCTGTCTCAATTTGACAGAGTTGTGATGCAAAATATTGGAATGGAAGATCAAGCAGCTCCTGAAGTTTCATCCAGGGCAGCGCCTGTAACACTGGTGAAGGCTAAATCAAAGGATCAAGCACGGGCAGATACTGCTGGGAGGAAGATTCAAGCGCCATCAATAACCAAATTCAGGGCATTTGAAAGAACAGATGATGGCGGAGCAAAACCAAACTATCCATTAGATTCCCGTTTTCATGTTAAAGCTTCCTTGGAGAAGATGGAAGATAGTGCGTCACAGAGTGATCTGCCTTCAACATCACAGCGGAAAACAAATCCTGGATATCAAGAGGCAGGGAGGAAAGAGGAAGCGACTTCTCATATGTCATTTAAGGATTCTGTAGAAGATGGATCAGGTTCCAGGAGAACACAGCTGTATGGTAGAACATCTGCTCCTGATCAGGGAAAGAAGGTGCAAGGAAGAAGAGATGAAAGGGCCGTTAATCAAGCAACAAGGATTCCAGTTTTCTCAGGAAAGAAGGTGACAGAACAGGAGGAGGTCCTTCAACTTCCTTCTATACCCCCTGTGGATCAAGCTCAGTTAACGAGGCCATTGAAAGGAAACAATGAGCTGCAACTGAAGGCTGATGAATTAGAAAAGCTATTTGCTGCACACAAGCTCAGGGTTGACGGGGACCGCACAGCTTCCTCTCAGAGAAGCAAAACCGTAGATGGTCAAGTGCTGAAGTCTGCTGAGAAAAGGCCAGTTGATGGTCCAACTGAGCAATTTTCAGAGGGGAATATGTCCAGCTTGTGTTTGAGCAATGGAGCAGAATTTGACTCTAATTTGCTTCTGAAGATGGCTGATAATTTAGATTCCGCCAATAGTATGAAGCAGAAGCTAGGTACTATCAGTCCATCAGACGATTCAAGAGGAAAACTCTATGAGAGATATGTGCAAAAACGGGAAGCGAAGCTGAGGGAAGAGTCAGGGTCAAAAAGGGCCCAGAAAGAAGCAAAGATGAAGGCTATGCATGACAGCTTAGAACGTAGCCATGCTGAGATGAAGGCCAAACTTACTGGTTCAGCTGATAAACGAGATTCAATACTTGCTTATCGCCGTACAGTAAAAAAGAAATCATTCAATGTTCACTCAGATAAAAGAAACCTAGGGCAGGTACCAAACTCCTTTTCTTGTTAAAATTGCTATATGTATCTATATCTTTGATTATTTTTGTCACCTGACCATTTTAATTACCAGCTCTAGCTTATAAACTGACAGTGTATATCATGCAAACCTAACATTATTTGAGCCATGTGGAAAGGCCATGAAAAACATGATTCACTTAGAGAGGCATAATTGTGGGTAAATGAATTTAAATTGCAAACGATGAGGTCTGCATCTCTTAAAGGCTGATGCTTTGATGGCATGTCTGTTGCAAAAATATTACACCCGAAATATTAGGAATATAACTGTAGTCTAACAATGTAGATGAAGCAAACTTAACACCAGAGTTTTAAGTGAGTTTTACATTGGGCTTTTCTACTTGAGATTGCTGTAGAATATGCATGACTTTGAAATTTAGACTTAACCTGTACCTAGCTCACTTCAGTTGTGTGTCTCTACCAATTAGCGTTAAGTTAGCTTTCCACTTGCAGGTAAGGGGTGTTTGGCAGTTCGAAAGTGAATTGCAAATGTTTAAGTTACTTTGATTTGCAAATGACTTTCACATCTATGTCAGCAAGCAATGAAATACATTGTTTGAAAAACAAAATTATTGTTGAGAGTGCAATGTAGAGATGATGTGACAAAATAAGATTAATTAGTAAATATAGTTAAATTCATTTAATTAAAATTGGTTATCGTTTTTATCACTTTCATGTGACTACCACTTTTTAGGGAAAGTCAAAATTACATTAAATCCCATGTGGCAACTTTCTTGCATTTCACTTTCATAACCACTTGCACGCAAACAAACACTAAAAATATTAAAAGAAAGTCACTTTCTCACTTTCAAATCTTCCACTTGCATGCAAAACAAACACCCCTAATGGCTGATAAATTTTAAAATTTAGTTGCCTTTGTTTGTGTATTGTGGTGGGTGGGGTTGGGCGTTTGCTGAAGTAGCCATTTGTTCTATAGTTACCTAAATTTTATTGACATCTCAACTCAGCTGAACTTTATAAAGTCATATTCCACATGCTTCTACAAGAATAAGTAGTCTCTTTATTTTCTTTATTTACAATATTCCATACAAGATTGGTCGTTTACTCTTGATCCTGTTAAGCTTGCTATATAGACCATTATTTTCTTTTTCCTTACAGAACTTCCTAGTATATTTGACCTATTAATGTTTTTGGTGGGAAGCAGACAATAGAACTCCTCCAGAGAGAAGAAGATGTACAAGAGAGCGATCAGGTTATGTATGGCCAAGATAGATTTAATAGTGACACATTATCTGGTAATGAATCTTCTACAAGCTCCAAAAAGCTTGTGTCCAATAAAAGCTCATCATCATCCACACGTAGAATATCAGCAGCACCAATTCCCAAGCCATCTTCCAAAATCACCAACTCTAGTCCCATTCGGCGTAAAATGCGGCCTGAAAACCCACTTGCACAATCAGTTCCCAACTTTTCTGACCTTAGAAAAGAAAACACAAAACCTGCGACAGGGGGCAAGGTGGCTTCCTGTGCACAACCAAGATATTTTGCTCGAAGCAAGAGTGCCATTGAAGAGGCAAATATTGTCAAGGAAGAGAATCCACAGAGGTTCCACTCCATGAGGAAAAGTGTAGCCATTCCTGGTGAGTTGAAGGATCTCTCACCTCTCAGTTCTGATGGTGCCAATCTGACAGCATTGGATTTTCTGAAAGAGCAAATGGAGCAGAATGTTAATAAAATCCGGAAGAATAGTGAGTCGAAATCAGTTCTTAGGAAGGGTCGTGGAGTAGGTCCTGATGCTGGAGGAGGTTTATCTAAACTGAAAGGCTTTATGAACTCTGAGGTCCCAAAAGATGAAGAAGAAGTTCTGATAGATAAATGTGAGGATTTACCTGCTATGGTTGAAGAAGATGAAAAAGAATCTGATAGAGCATACTCTGAAGAAAATTTTCAGGCCACAAGTTTTCCTGTTGAATCCAATAATGAAAATGGTGATCCTGGAGCAGAGAATGCTGATGATCTGAGATCACTATCTCAAGATCGTGTCGACTCCAGTGCTATATGCTCCACTTTCAATCCCTCTGCTGGATATGTGCAGGAGTCACCAGGGGAAAGCCCAGGATCATGGAACTCAAACATCCACCATTCATTTTCTTATGCACATGATGCATCAGATGTTGATGCATCTGTGGGTTCTCCTACTGGAAGTCCTGCATCATGGAATTCTCACCCGTTGAACCAAATGATGGAGACTGATGCTGCTCGTATGAGAAAGAAATGGGGGAATGCTCAGATACCAGTTCTTGTTTCCAATGCTTCACATCATCCCCACAAAGATGTCACTAAAGGGTTTAAACGGTTATTCAAATTTGGGAGGAAAAATAGAGGTGCAGAATATCTAGTAAATGACTGGGCATCTGCATCTACAGCTTCTGAAGGTGATGATGACGCAGAAGATGTTAGGGAGCTGGGATCACGACCTTCAGAGGTATTGGGGAAGTCAAGAATGGGCTACTCAGTTTCTGCTTATGAAGGCCTTAATAGCAGCGACACATTTCCTGAACAAGGTAAAATACATGTTTATGGATGTACACACACGCACACATTTTTTACTCCAGTTACTTTGTGCTTTTGCTATTGTTAATTTGCTGCTTGTTGTTCTGACACAGCACAATTCGTTCAGGTGTGCATTCTTTATCGTGATTCTTTAGGCCTATTTCTGAATAGTTTTAGAGTATATTGAACATATTATGGAAATTAGCAGGTAAGTCATCAGATGATGATGTTAGTGTATGTCATGAAATTTAGTACTGAAAGTCTCAAATGATGATGGTAGCGTGTGCCATGAAATTTGGCACTGAAACTCTTAGGCATAGGTTAACTGAAGAAAGATGAAAATAAGGAAGTGGCTTACTTAAGGTAAATTTTAGGAAATAAACCAATCTTTTTGCTAGTTGGTTTATTCCTTAAAGATGTATTGATTGTTCTTAGTTTAGGAATACGAATCCTTAAGCTTTTGGCTTATATTGCACTTTGGAGAAAGCAGTGTTCCATAAAGCAAAGATTATAGAACTTTTCTATAGCAAGCACGTTGTTCACAAAAGTGTATTTGATTTTCCTTATAAACACCTTGAAGCTTTAAATGTGACCAAGGCAATTAGAGGCATAAATATTATACTATTGTCACCTCGGGACACGCTTTATGCCTTACATGTTCTTATAGAATGTATGGTTTTTAATTCTGTTTCTTTCCTACTCGTTGTACATGTGCACTTATGATTATCAGCATAAACCAGATCCTTTGCTGTCAAGAATTGGCAGCAGAGACATTGCAATATTAATTTGAGAATCTCTTCTAGAAGAATGGAGGAATTTAGGAATGACTACCAAACAACAAGCATATGCGAGCTGCACGTCATTCTTGGGCAAGGCAGCATATGTAAGACAGACCTTTTATGGAATCTAATATTGTAAGTAGCTATGTTTGATGGCCTGTCTTCTTGATCATACAGTTGGAAAACAGTACTCACGGAGCAACCCCCCTAAGTTATCTAAATTGAGCCATTACTCATGGAAAACCACCTGAACTTTTTCTAACTTGAGTCTAGACAGAAGAAAATAAAATTCCTATATTAAACTGGACATCCATCTATAAGGAAGTTTTAGGTAGAAAGGTCGATTAAAGCACAAGGCCAACACAATAAGCAGCTGTCTTAGACCATTTTACGACATTCACTAACTGCCTTTGTATGTTAATCATGCAGTTTATATTGCAATGCTCCAAACGTTTTCTCCAATTTTTAATTTTAGATTGGAGTTGTTGATTTTTTAATTAATTTTATTAAGTTGTCCAAAGAAAAAGGAAGTGTATCTTGCTGCTAGATGCATATATGCGCCTTTTCTTCTGTTTTCCCCCTTCTTTCTTTCCTTCATTTGTTCTTAAGTCTTTTTATTCACCATACATTTGGTGGATATACCCTTTCTGTGTCTTGACTCTTTTTACTTTGTCTGATAAACTCTTGTAGCACCTCGTTCCTTCTTCTCCCTTTCATCATTCCGAGGCAAGGTAAGTGAAGCTAAGCCAAGATGACAGTGGGGCTGGGCACTGATGTACATGATATGGCTGCAGTCTAAAATTACTCGCTGCTGTGGATTTTTCCATAGTGCTAGGCATCCCAGCCTTAGTTCACAGTACGAATTCTCCCTCATCTCCAGATAATTCATGTGATTATTTATTTTTTACGAGTTGTGGTTCTCTAGGACTTCAAAATGTATCAAGTTTATCAGTTTTACTTAGCTTTGGTATCTAAAAATTTAATTATTTGTGATTGAAGGTAGTCTGTCAATTTTCATTCATATTTATGTAATGTCATATATAAATCAAAATTTGTTTGTAACGAAGGACTAGCAAGACTGCAAGCTGAGTGATTTTGTTTGTACAAAATTCAAGAAAGAACACTCTTCTCTCTTGATCCTTTCATTCCTTCTTCGTCTTTCGCTTTCACCAATTGTGGTTTCTACCTTCATTTTGTAGATAGATTCTGATAAATCACCATCAGTTTTTGTTTGAAACGTTAGGATCTGGACCGCATCAAGTTTTTCTCTGATCTGCGTAAAGGAATATTTGGAGCTTTGTAGTTTTAATTCACCAATGTTACTGCACTGGCAGCAAATTTCATTTTTTTAACCATTTCTGTACGAAGGATTAACTCCGTTATGCATTCAGGGCTAGAAAAATGATGGTGATGCTGTGACATCCTGCTAGAATTTGGTTTGACATTACACGGTAATCAAGCTTCGCTTATTCAGCACATTTTTATTTTTTGAGAAAACTGTCGTGATTAATATGTGAGTATAGTTCTATATAAGATAAGATAAGAAAAAGTAATGAGTTTAAATAGAAGTTTGGATTAATACCTGATAGCTATAGTTTTTAGGTTAAAATTGATTCCGAACTTCTATTTAAGGTCCATCAACTCTAGATTGGGTTTGATTTCTCCCCCAACAGTGGTATCAAAGTCATGAATAATCTAAACAGGACGATGTTGTCTTCTATTCCTATGAAGTAACTGTGAGATACTTTGGAGACAACGTACTATGAAGTTGAAAAGGTAAAAAAGTTAGGCTCCCTACAAGTTCATGAGCAACGCATGAATGGAAGGTCAACCGAGAAAGCCCATTGAGAAAGCTTTTCAAAGTCAAGCTTCCATAAAATATAACAAAGGAGCGCAGGATGAAAAAAACCAGCGAGGAGGAAATTTTCGTGACAGAGGACGAGGATACAGAAACTACAACAATTGAGGATGCGGAAACTACAATAGTCGAGGGCGTGACAGTTATAACAATAATCAAAGAGATGATGACTATCAGAGAAACAATTATCAATCAAATTTAAATTATCGAGGACGAGATCAAGGTCGAGGTCAAGGTCGAGGCTTTGGACGTGGTAGAGGAAATTTTAGTAAATCAAACAGTGAATGTTATATATGTCACAGATATGACCACCATGCAAAAGAGCGCAACTGCCAGGATAATTCCCAATTTGAAGGAGAAGTTCGATTTGCACAAGAAAGAGGTGATGAAGACAACCACACTTGGTTGATGGTCACAGTAATCGGTGAAGAATCAAATTACAATACATAGTTTCTCGACATTGGGTGCTCTAATTACATGTGGGGAAAGGAGTTGTTGTGGATCTGGATGAGTCGATGCAGTCCAAAGTCAAGTTTGCCGATGATAGCACTATACCAGTGATAGGAAAAAGGCGAGTTTTGATCAAGTTGAAGAACGTAGACCACAAGTTTATTTCCGATGTGTTCTATGTGCCAAATATGAAGAACAATTTACTCAGTATGAGTCAACTTCTTGAAAAAGGGTACGGTCTGTGTTTTTTTGGTAATCAACTCTTACTCTTTGATAAAAGAGGTGTATTTATCCTTAAAGCCTTTATGACAAATAATTGCATGTTTTGAGTTGACATCGAGAACGATGTTTATCATTGCTTCAATGCTGTTATGAAAGATGAGTCTTGGTTGTGGCATCTTCGTTTTAAATATTTTTGCTTTCATAGTTTGAAGTTGCTTGCTCAAAGAAATTTGATGAGATGCTTGCCCGTTATAAATATTCCTGAGCAGTTACGTGAAAGTTGTATTATTGGAAAGCAACATAGATTACCCTTTAATATTAAAAACACTTGGCGTGCAAAGAAGCCTCTTGAGCTCATCCATTCAGATGTGTGTGGCCCTATGAACATTATATCCAATGACAATAATCGATAATTCCTTACTTTTTTATTGATGATTTCACAAGAAAAATATGGGTTTATTTTTTGCAGTAAAAATCTGACGTCTTTGACTGTTTCAAGAGCTTTAAAGCCCTGGTTAAGAAGGAAAGTGGTTATTTTATCAAGACACTACGAACAGATGGCGGATGTGAATATACTTCTAATGAATTCAATAAGTATTATGAAGAACAAGGAATAAAACGTGATGTTACTTTTCCCTCACACCTAAACATAACAGCGTCACTAAAAGGAAACACATGACCATACTTGACATGGCGAGAAGCATGCTAAAGGCCAAAGGTATGCCAAATTGTTTTTGGGGTGAAGCTGTCTCATGCACTGTTTATTTGTTGAATAAGTCACCAACAAAGGATGTTGATAATCTCACTCCTGAAGAGGCGTGGACTAGTTATAAGCCAAGTGTAGGATATCTCAAAGTGTTTGGCTCTATTGCTGATGCTCATGTTCCAGCAGAAAGAAGAAAGAAACTTGATGACAGAGGCGTGAAGATAATTTTTATTAGCTATAAGTCTGGAGGCTACAAACTCTATAATCTTGCTACAAAGAAGGTGATTGTAAGCACAGATGTTATGTTTGCTGAAGAAGAAACTTGAAATTGGGATCTAGAAGCACAAAACGAGTCACGACGTACTCTCCTTGATATTCTTGAAGATGGTGTCCCTGCTGCAACTAAAAAAGCACCATCAGTCAATGCTTCTGAAGCTCCAACCCCGTAAATTTCATTAGAAGTTGAAAGACCAAGAAGAAATCGCCAACTATTAGTTCTTTTGAGGGATTATGAAGTAACTCTAATGATGATATTGATGCAGATGGAGATTTATTGCACTTTATAATATTTGCAGATTGTGAGCCAATTATGTTTGAAGAGGCTATTCAAGATCTTAAGTGGATAAGTGCAATGAAAAAAGAGGGCGATCAAGAACAACAACACATGAGAGCTTACTAATATCCCTCAAGGACATAAATCAATCGATGTAAAGTGGATTTTCAAGATAAAGATTAAGGCGAACGGGAACGGCAAGGTTGAGCGGCATAATACAAGATTAGTGGCGAAAGGCTACGAACAAAGGTCTAATTATAATTACCAAGAGATATTTTTTCCTGTTGCTAGAATTAAAATTGTTAGAGTAATAATTGCATTGGCTGCATAGAAGCATTGGAATATTCAAACATGAAGTCACCTTTTCTTAATGAGTCACTTGAAGAAGAAGTTTTTATGAAGCAACCACCTGGATTTGTGAAGAAAGGGTGCAAGCACAAAATATAAAAGTGAAAAAAAGCCTTGTACGGGGTGAAACATGCGCCACATGCATGGAACAAAAGAATTGATTCTTTCTTTTAGAAAAGTGGATATCAAAAGTGCTCCTCTGAGTATGCCTTATATGTGAATCTAAACAACTCTGGTGATATACTACTATTATGCTTTTATGTTGATGGCTTGATTTTACTGGCAATAACATTAGTATGATTGAAGAGTTTAAGAAGTCGATGATGCATAAATTTGAGATGACAGATCTTGGCTTGATGTCTTATTTTCTCAGTATTGAAGTGGTTCAAGACGATGATGAGATTTTCATATGTCAAAAGAGGTATTGTGCAAAGTTATTGAAAATGTTTCAGATGTTTGATTGCAATCCTATAAGAAGTCCTGTGGAGGTTGGTACTAAGTTATCTCGAGAAGGTGATGATGCACAAGTTAATACTACTTATTTCAAGCAAATTATTGGGAGTTTGAGACATCTCATATGTACAAGGCCAGATATAGCCTATGGAGTTAGTTTAATCAGCAGATTTTTGGAGGCCCCTCGCCAATCTCATCTGCAAGTTGCAAAGAGAATTATACGGTACCTAAAGGGGACTTATGATCATGGTTTATTTTATTCTTCATCTAACAATTATGATGTTGTAGGCTATTCTGATAGTGATTGGAGTAGAGATCATGATGATCGCAAAAATACTTCTGGCTATATTTTCAATTTTTGCTCCACCGCATTTTCATGGTCTTCAAAGAAGCAGTCCATTGTTGTACTCTCAACTTGTGAAGCGAAGTATGTTGCAGCAACGTCTAGTGCTTGTCAAGCAATTTGGTTGTGTAATGTGCTAAGTCAAATTCATATCCAAGTTGAAGGTCCTACAACAATTTATGTTGATAATAAGTCTGCAATTGCTTTGGCAACGAATCCAGTCATCCATGGAAGGAGCAAGCATATTCATACTCTCGTTACCACTTTCTACAAGACAATGCTGAGAAGAATGAGATCATGTTGATTTATTATTGCAAGCTTGAAGATCAAGTTGCAGACATCCTCATGAAACCTTTGAAGTTTGAAGCGTTTGTCAAGTTGAAGCACATGATGGGAGTGAAGACTTTACAAAATTAGGATTAAGGAGTGGGATGAGGGGTGAGAGTGCGTTGAAGTTAATCCTAATTCTAAAAGGATTTGAGTTTGTTATCTATAGAAATTCACCTCATTTTATAAGAGTTTGTTTTATTAGGAATTAGTTCATATAATTTATCTATAGGCTTTGAGTAGTTTATCTTTAGAGTTAATATTATATATTAGAACTGTTGATAGATGAATTTTGTAAGACTTTAAATAGGCATTCATGCATCACTGTACCCGTAAGAGAAAAAGACAGAGACTAAAGAGAGGCTAGATTTCATCTTTCTCTTCCTTCTCCCATATATTTTATTATTTTATTGTTTGTTTCTTCCCTTCCACTCTATTCATATATACTTTGATTATTTAATTGCCTTTTGAATAGTTGCTCCAACAATGGTATCAGGGCTAAGGTTATAGTCCAAGTAATTAAAAAAAAAAACAGATGATCTTTGATGTGAAGCTCAAAGGTGTTGGGAGAATCCATGGATGCCCGTAGGAGTGATGTAGTGTAGTTAGCCACCATGAGTAAAGTGATAGGAGTTCCTATGGATGTTTGATAGCTATGTGTTGAATACATAGTCTGGTTAGCCTACGAGTGAAGTGGTACAAAAGTTTGTGAATTGGTTAGCTCACGAGTGAAGTGATGCAAAATTTAGTGAATTTCGTGAAAGATTGAATTATAGTTGAATTGAACTATACTCACAAATTAAGTGAGAGTTGTGATTAATATGTGAGTGTAGTCCCACATTGGATAAGATAAGAAATAGTGACGAGTTTAATAGGAGTTTGAGTCAA